TGTTCAAATTTGGATGTCTAGTTCTTAAGTAGATAGGATATTTTTGATTCACTATATATTCATAATATAGATTCTAATTTGGTTTAATTTAATTTAATTTGGTTTTTAAATAGATTAAATATATCCAATATGCTTTGGATTTTTTTATCTAGAGCCAATTGGTATAAGTTTATATAGTGTTTGGACCTATTGTTTGAGGTTTGTTTATTGTCTAGATCCTACTAATCTAAAATTTTTTAGAATCCGAATTCTATTGATTTAGATCTAACGCCAAGTTGACTAAACTAATAAATAATGCATTATAAGAATATTTATAAATTTATTATCTTAAATTATATTAAACTTTCTATTATTTAAAAAAAAAAATCATGTTATTATCAAAATATTTTCAATTTTAGCATGCACTATTTTTAATTTTTATAATTTAAAAACAAAAATAATAATTTTCAAATAAAAGTTTAAATAATATTTTTTATTAATTTTTTCAATGAATAAATTTAAAGATATTTATAATACATATTTAATGAATTATAAATTTTTTCTAAAAAAATTACAACAATAAATTCAATTGTAAAATCTTTTCTCTATGATAAATGCATTGAACACCTTTAGTTTTTTTGTTCTATTAAACATGATTAAATTATTAAGTTTTTTGTATACATTGCTACCAATAAATCGATTAAGTTCTTACTATTTTATTTTTTATTTTTTTTCTTGCTTGATTATACTTTAAAATTTTTATTTTGTGAAAAGAATGTTCTACTTATAGTACCAAGTAATAAAACATATCATAGAAAAGTAATTCTTCATGGACCAAAAACATCATGAAATATATCATACAAATTTCTTAAAACAATGTGATAATATTTATAAATAAAATGCCATATCAATGAAATTTTTATTTAATATAAAATATGTTGTAAAAACAATAAAGCATTAGGATTTATTGTTTCATATAAATTTTATATTAGGCTCTGTTTTAGTGCATGTTTTTTTATTTTTATATTTTGTTACTAACAAATGTTTAAAAAATATTCATTCTTAAATGTGGTGAAGATAAATAAATAAAAAAAGATTGTATTATAAATCACATCATATCAAATTAGTATTATATGTATCTTATAATAATAAAAAATATAAATTTTTACATTTAAAATTAACCTTATCAATTATAAGATTTTTTGTTGAAGATTTTAAGGTCAAACAACAATATTTGATAAAGATTATATTTAAAATCTCAGTACACTGAAGCTATTTAGTTTCTTAAATTATCAAGACTTTTATTAATATCATTCAATTCATATATAATTCTCTTACTGAATGAAAATAATTGAGGTTTTTTTAGTTTTCAAATATCACCTTTGAAGAAAATATTATGTTTTTATTGAATATCATTTCTTCTTATTTTTTCCGAAATTTATACTTCTTGGTTTGATCTTTTTTACTGCAGTTATAATTTATCTATAAACCTTTTAATTTTGTGTGGCTTTGGTTCTTTTAGAATGACTTATAATTATTTGGAAAAATCAATATAGTAAATTTAATATAATAAAAGAAATGATTTTCTTTTTCTTTTTGTGATATAATTTTTTCGTTTTTCTTATTACTTGGTTTGTAATTCAATTTTCAAGTTAATGATATTTGATACATAGAATACTAATTTGATATTTTCTTTCAAATAATTATTCTTATTTATTTAATTAATTAAAATATTTTTATTTTATTTTAAATAATTATCTATGAAAATTAAACTAAAATTATGAAATCATAAATTTATATTTAATATGCAAAAGTAGTATACTTTTGTATAGATATTAGTTCATAAAATATTTATATATCTTACATAATAATCTCAAATTGAATATCTAATTCCTACCTTAAGTAATTTTATAATTTAGATGTAAATATAAATATATATAAATATATATATATATATAAATATATATATATATATATATATATATATATATATATTAAAAAATGATAAAGCAATCCAAAGTTTTACTAAATTGATCCACATGTTTAAACCTTCATTGTACTCTTTCAACTCCATCCTCATTGCCATGTTCCCAACTGTTGTCTTCATTTGTAACCTCTTGTTCCCATTTTTAGCAATGGTTGGGAATGAGATATAGCTAGAAACAAAGATAGAGGGTGCAAGGGTGCAATTATGATTAAGATAGAGTGAGTTGCTTTAGTAAACATTTAGATTGTTTTATCATTCCCCTATATATATATATATATATATATATATATTCATTGTACTACTATATCATAGTATATTATTTAAGTCTTGTAGTCTTTATAAAACTTTGATATAATCTTTTTGCATGGTATATACAAAAGAAAGACTAAAATCAATCATAGGTTTCATAATGTAAATCTTAAATTTTAGTTTAAAGCTATAAGTATTTATATTTTTATACTTGATAATTATTATTTTAGAAATATACATTTTAATATTTTTTACTTTTTACTTAGTTGGAATTGTGAGTGTGTAAATATGTGTGTGTGTATATATATATATATATATATATATATATACATTCTGTTATTTTTTATATATTTATACACTAATAATGTTTGATGATTCTTTTACAACCTATAAACTCAATACTTCTTATAAAATTATAATTAAACAAAATTCTATATAAGTATGTGAAATTCAATTATTTAATCAATTAATTTTTACTAATTTAATCAGAATCATTTTTTTAAACTAATATATAATATTATTTTTTGTTAAATACAAGCCATCTAAAAATTGTCATCTTTGGTGCATTTTGCACTTAGGAGACATGGTGAGAGGCTTTAACTTTTGAATATTATTACTCGTTAAAATGAAGTAATCACTTTAATCTGGTAATTTTCTTATAAAATTAATTTTAAAGGCTCCAAAAACATATATATATATATATATATATATATATATATATATATATAAATAAAAGGTGCAATGCACTTTTTCTCTATTTAATCTAAATGATGTTAATTGTTTCTTTTATATTAGATCCATCTTAAATGAGAGTTTTTAGAAAAATTTAAGAAGTCATACCAAAACATGCTTTATATAATTATTAAAAAATAGTTGGTTTATACTTCTTTTATTTGTTTAAATTATAATATAATTTATTTATTTTTTGCAATAAATCGATGATTTTATTTATTTCATAGCCTTTTTTTTATTGTATAGTGTATTTGAAGATCAAGATTTTTAAAATGGGGTGTTTGTTTACTAAGTAGAAGATCTTAACAATGCTTTAGAATCATGGCCTTTCAAAGTAGATTTCTAGAAATAAAGAGCCCCTCATACTATACAAAGTCATAATAAATATTTTTTTTAAAACAACACAAGATTACATTGTTCAAACAATATTTTGTAGCAAAAAAAATAGCTTCTAAAAATTATAGCCATATGAAATCTTATATTTTAAGTACAATAAGAGATGTAGTAATTTTTATAAAATCTCTATATAAAAATATTAATTATATTTTTTATATCTTATAATATAATAAAGATAAGCCAACACTTATACAATGCAAATCCAATAAATGAAGAAAATATAAATAAAATGATAAAATCATTATAGTAAGTCTTGTAAAAATATTTTCTATATTTTGATTATTATTGTATTGGATCAAAGTTATTCTTATTTTCTTATTTATTTTAGAAAATTTTGTATCATTCTCTATTAAACTCTAAAAGTTGTTATTGTTATTATTGTTGGTTGTTGAATCTTCTAATGTAATACATATAAAAGAAAAGAAAAGAAAATAGAAAAAGAGAGAAAAAAAAAAAAAAAAAAAAAAAAAAAAAACCGGATTTTGATTTTGAATATGGATGAGGTGGAATAAGAACATTGGGATAAGACAAATACAATGTGAAAGCAAAGTAGCAATTAGAGCACATAAAAAGAAATAAATAGAACCTTATAATAGAAAGATGTTATAAAGCAAAAGCATAAGGAAATTACTAATATTATATATATATATATATATATATATAGGATATTGTTAATATTATAATAGTTGATGCTATTGCTACTACAACCTGCCACTTACTTAATATTTTTTTGGGTTTTTTTAGCTTTTATTTTTTTAAATTAATCTCAATCAAGAGTTTTGTAAAATTCAAAGTTTTTTTAAGATGTTAGATAAAGAAAATCTAATTAATTTGAAGTTTTTTGAAAAAAGATGATATCTTGTGGATAGAGAGTTGTGGTGGCAGAGTTGTAATGGCAATAGTAATTTGTTATAGATATAGACACATATATATATATATATATATATATCTGTGTGTGTATATATATATATATATAGAGAGAGAGAGAGAGAGCGAGAGCGAGAGAGAGAGAGAAAAGAAAAAAATAAAGAATACCTCTGGATAAGACCAAAATTAAAAATAGTTTGTTGATTAAAATAAAGTGTTTGTTATTCTTGTAATTTTTAATATTGATTTGACGTATTTATATTATTTACTTGAAATAATAATCATTCTTATAAAATTTAGATTTGAGTATTGTATCTATTATCAAAAGTTTTTTTTTATTTATAATTTCAATAATAAATAAAACTTATATATGTTCTAGACACTGATTTGAAATAAGACCAAACATAATAACAAATAGACACTTACATCTATTGTTGTTGAATGAGAAGTTATTCAACATAAAATAACATTGTAAAAAGCTTTTGATTCATCACCTTTCTAATTATACGTATTTTTTTAGATGAGATTGTATTCACGTTGTTAAAATGGTCCACTTCCTACTTAAAAGTGGTTTTGAACTAGCAAATCTAAAATTTAAGAAGCCCATAAGTTGTGAGTTAAATTTTCATAATTAGGTGATTGATGTATTTTAAAATAAAACATTTCTGCTTAAAATGATTCATTTACATAGAATGTTGAATCGTTTCACCAAACGGTATTTAACCTCTTAAATAGTCTAGATTATATATATTGGGCAAAACACACCCAAAATGTTTGAACAATGATAATTTGCTTACAATTTACTAGAATCTTCACATTGCAAGTCTGATGTAAGGTGTAACCCTAAAAAGTATAATCCTAGCTCTAAGTTGTGAATTAGATAGGCAATCAAAAATCTCATCACTCAACATGACTTTTAAATAACAAACATGGCTTTTACAGAACAAAAATTGCAATTTTTTGTATGAGATTGTACATAGGATACTTTGTAAGAAATTATTGTTTGCATGATCTGGGTATATCCAAAGGCTATGTGTACCCGCAAGTGGATGCTAGTATATATATATATATACATATATATATATATATGTTCTTGTGTGTCTGTTCAGATTCTGCAAAAAATCATACCTCAGTTTTATGTAATCCCCTACTTGGAGGCTATCCCGAATAAATAACAGTAATAATAAGACAATATAAAAACAATGCCTATCAACACTCTCGTTGGCATGGAATGAGAATTTGCAATGAATCCAATTCGATAACGATAAAAATAGAAAGAAATCACTTAAGAAGCATTATATTCTCGCAGAAATTTCATCATGAAGCCAATGATGAGCGAGTTTTGTTATTTTGTTCTATTTTTATCATGGTGGCATGTGTGGGGTTCCTGGCATGATTCTGTGCGAAGACGTTTGTCAGAGAACACGGTGCCCCAGTTTGGCTGAATTCATGGACCCAATAGAACCCCACTGACAACAAAATTAGGGTTCAATGGAAAACTATAAACGACTAAGAATGAAAGAAAAGAATGAAGGGTTTCCTCGATTCCAGAGCCCATTGCCTGCTGTGGCTCTGCACCAACTCAGAGGCAGAGGCAGCTCATACCTGACACAAACGACAACTCCCATTCGCTGCTTCCTGACAATGTGCCCTCTACTTGTCAGCCTCGATGAATCCCATGTTTAGGGCTAAGGGTTTTGGGTTTTGGGAACCAACACAAGTTGGGCAAAAAGCTACGCTCATTGACATCTCTTGTGCAGGTGTTAATCTCACTCTATCGATGAAACCCTGCATTCGGACCTTGGTTCTGTGGAATACTGCACTCAAAATACGTCATTTGTAATTTTATAATTTTCTTAATTTTTTTTTTTTTAATCAACGTGCTTGTCTGTGACAGCTCACTGCTCTTTTTCCAACAAAATATATTAGAGTATGATCTTAACGAGTTAAATGAAAATCCGTGAAGATTATTTTTGCTTTTAAAATCCTTCGTCATTGTTAGTTTCCCCACAAATCAAAAATCACACCTTTGTTAGTAACTTTTATAAGAAAACATGTACGACGTCAATGTTTGTATTTTCTGAATTAATCATCCGTCTACTTCGATTTCTTTTGTAAAATCTTTTTTCTTTTCCTGCATAATCTAAACGAATGAAATCAGCAGTTATTCAAAGTCAAAAACACAGTGCAAGTCAGTCAAAGCTTGAACTTGGAGATGCCAGACTCACGATGTGCACGACACGGCAAGAGAAAGTGAGAGTGAGAGAGATGAATAAATTAATGTGTTGATGAATGATTCTGGCTCTGATTGCCTCCAAATCCAATACAATTGGGCGAGTCAGGTCTGGAATGTTAAGTTTGAGATTATAAAATTCAAAAGCCTGGAGAACAGAATAGAAAACTTTTAATAAACAAGTTCTGATAATAATGATAAAAATAAAAATAATATTAATGCAGGGTTATGTGTGCTATACCCCAAAGGTTCTGCATGAATGAGGACCAAAAGGTACATTTAAAAAAGCGAACCTATTCAAAAAAGAAAGATCGTGAACTACAAGACTTGAATAGGGAGTTGGGACAAAAGGAATATTCACGAGAATACTGTTTATTCTCATTTCATTTCATTTCATTTCAATTTATTTATTTATTTATTTTTGTTTTTTTTTCTTTCCTTATAAAGGTGGATGTTTTGTGGGGAATAGGAAGGGAAGGCTTTCATTAAAATCTGCCTCGTGTTCTGTTTGAAGAGAATAATTTCAGTGCCACGTGGGATCGGTCTCTCATCTCATCATGGTGTCCACGTGGCGTCCCTCAGGGATTCTGTAGCCCCCAGAAAATGAGACAGAGAAATTATTTGAAGGCAGAAGAGATAAAAACATTTATTGTTTGTAAGAATCGGCACACATGAAATGTATGGAATTTGCGCCTTCTGCCAATTGCTTTGGGTGGAACATATATTTTTTTTAATGTTTTGTTGATGTGAGTGTTGATGAGATTAAAGAAACAAGAATTTGAAAAATGAAAATATCTGAAGTATGAGTATGGTTAAATATATATGAGTGTGTGTGTGTGCGTGTATATATATATATATATATGTATATATATTCATTTGAGAACTGAAGAATACAATATCCAAACCTACCAAAAAGATGATCAATTCAGTTTAAGTCCATTAAGGGAATTAATATATTGTTGACACACACACACACACACATATATATATATATATATATATATATATATATCCTCCACAACAGGAAGTTTATATTGATTGTTACAAGAAGTATGTTTTGAAATAGTAACATGACCTTAAGTTGTAAACGTTTTATAACTCAAGTCCACCAAAAAGATTGCGCTTTTTACCAGTAAAATTCTAGTTTTTTTGACTCGGAGTTGTGTACACGGTTAATCTTTTAAAACTCAAATCAACTGACATATTTTCTTAATATCACAGCATTGAAAAATCCTAGCCCGATAGTTTATTTTATTTTATTATGAAATGTTGCAACATACCAAATCATTCAAATAAATATTTCAAAACTCAGCTTCTTATTCCAGCTTTAATTCTTTTTTGAATATGTAAGGAACAACATAGTTCTAATTAATGAATTGGTGGCGTAACTTTGGGCATTCTACTGTATCACCAGAAACAATGTTTTTCAAGAAGTAAATTATTTTACGGAGAAAATAATCCCAACATTTTCATTCCTGTTACTGGTTTGAAATTTTTTACCGACCAGTCAAAGTCCCTCATGCTACTTCCTACTCCACAGATTCAAAACACTTTGCTGAACTGAAATGCTTCTACAATGCATGACAATCAAATTGTTACATCTAGGAATGAAAATCGTTACAAATAACGGGGTTCAAAACTCAAATTTTACAATGAATAATGCATCTTGGCATTATTGAAACCTCTGAAGAAGTTAATCCCTAATATAGAGAGGGAGATCTTGAAGGTGAGCATGCAGTATTTACAGGCATGCTTTCTCATTGGGTTGCCTGGAGTTTGATAAGAGCACCGTTAACACCAGTCAAGTCGGCCGAAGTGCATCGTGCTCAGTAACCTTTGCGCTGGTTGACACAGATCACAACGATTCAGATCCACGATTCTTAAGAAAATTCAGTGGGGATTTCACTATGTCTCCTGTTTGTTTGCTTTGTTGTTTTGTTTTGTTTTGTTTTTTGTACAAAAATGGGGTGTACTCGGTGCATTGTTATAATGAAGTGTTACAGAAAGACACTGTAACCCCTAATACCCAATTGGGCGGGGTTAAGAGTACTATTTGAAGTAAGATTTATTACTTCTTAAACCGTTACACTAGCGTGTATGATTAGACCATTTGTGGTACTTTAAAGTTCCATTAAATAGCCATGTCTCCTGTTGGAAAGCATCGGAGAATGGCCAGCCCCCAAGTATTTGCAAACGCTACCAATTGCTCTGAATTAAAGTGTTATACAAAACTTGATGGGCTGGACTGTGTTTGTGTACGCAAACTTCTGCTATCCAGTGTCCGATGAAGAGGATTAAACAGCATTGAATGCTTCGGCAGTGAAAGGTTTCCACTTCTAGTTTCGTAACATTCGTCCGCTTTCAACTCTGTAGATCACAAGAACGGAGAATCAGTGCACACTAGAACACATGCTCGAAGATGAATCATCAGCTGAAAGTGAATCCAATCAACGGTTCAAAGAAAGAAGCTATCTCAACAGCCTTTCTGCCGCAGTGTTGACTGATCATCCTGATGGAGATCCACGACCAACACGTACAATTCCGATCCAGGCCTTGAAATGGCAAGTTTCGAGTACAGCGGTACCTAATATCTTGGAAGCAGCTTTTAAACTGAATGTTACGGATATTTTGAGATGCAGGACAACGATTTTGGTCTAGAGATAGTCCCTATAGGCTATCAGAACTTTATCTTTATTTTTAATTATTTATTTTGATTTTCTGGAGATAACGCCAGTTTCAATGTTCGCTACATATCTCGAAACAGAAACTCGCGTTGAGAATGACCGTTCAGGATACGATTAGCCTCGCCATGTCGCTAACTAATTTCATCAAAGAGTTTTGTTTGATGTTGGGGCACTTTCACAACAACAACAATCTTTGCCCAGTATGAAGAGCAAGCGCAGTGTCTTCACTGCTCCACTTTCACTGTTCACAGTACCCTTGCGTTACAGCCATCACCTTGACAAAGCTCCATGCTCAATGATTTCTATATTACTGCTTCAAGTATGCGGCGGACGAGAGAATTGGACGCCGAGGAATCCAATAGCGACGTTGTTGGTAAAACTGTTTAAAAGTGGCTGAAATTTACACCATTTATCCCTAGATCCATCTCGAAACAAAACTTGTAGCTGCTCAGTCTTCTTCATGACATATATTCCTTCTCTTACATGAAAACCATTGGTGTTGACAGGGGCTATCGAAACAGTGATGCAGAGCACACATTCTTCCTGTGTTGTAAAGAATAGATAATTCCAATCCTGGAGCTGTCTGCAAGTGTTGCTCATCAACAGCTATAACTCGATTTTCAACTCTGGGAGAAGAAAAATCAAGTCTGACTGTCTTCATGTCTCATTGCATGAATGCTGTTTTCAGAAGCATGGCATTGATTCAAAATGGGATACATCCAATGTTTTGGATTAATTAAAAAGTTAAGTCATTCCACCTAGGCGGAACTAAAAGATGGGTAAAATTTTGTAAAATTCGTTTAGATGTTCAAGGCACAAATAGAAGATGTTTTTAGATTGGCTTTTGATCTCTTTACATATATTGCCACTTCTTGGTGCTAAATTAATCATATAAGTATTGCTTCTTTTCTTGCTCTTGGTTTAAAATAACAAGTTTTGTGGTAATTTATTGTTTGATTTTGAATCAAGCAAATTCCGCCTATTATGTATAGACTGGAAAAGTTTTGTATCAAATTTTGTATTATATTTCAAAAAACTAGATCCAAATTTCTAATAATATTTAAGGGAATCAAATCATAACTCACATATTAGTCTATATAATATTTTGGTTGTTTCTTTTCATTTGTTAACTTTTCCTTTTTATTTTGGACCACTCAATTATTTTAACATATTTTTAAAATAAATTGAGATATATTTGTGTTATTTATTTATTTATTTATTTTAAAGATTTATTTAGCAATGTATTATAACATAGTATCTTTAATGTTTTTTTAATATAAAAAATTATATTTTTAAAGGTTCATAAATAATACATCAATTTTTAAAAACTATTTCTACTTAAGAGATTTAGAATTAAAAATATTTGAAGGAATATAATAGTCTCTCCAGACTAGGAGAGACTAGGAGAGATTCATAATTTTGTTGTGGAGCTTAAATAGAAATTTTAAATATGCCTCACTAATAAAATGATTATTTAGAGATTATATTTTGATAGAAATCATGATATTTGTTTGTCCTTATCTATTTTCTGAGATCTTAATTGGATATATCTAAAATATTATCTACTCTTCAAATACCAAAGATATGTATTTTTCTACTTATATATATATATTTTTTTTTTATATTAATAAAAAATCCAAATTCTACCATAATAATATATTCTATACATCATAACAACATTTAAATTATCTTAAGTATAAAAATTTGACTATGGTGGTCTACATTTTGAAAATTTTATTGTAGTTTTTAAATCCCATCTTATATTTAAAACTAAAGACAAGGTGCTATTAAAAAATAAGTACGTATTGTTTAAATGTCTAAGATTTTTTTAATATTATTCTATGTCTAATTATTTTTTATAGATTAGACTTTATTAGATGTAGGTTTTTTACTATTTATTTAGTCAAAAGAACTTTTAATATTTTTTATAGGATCTATGCTGTTTAAACCATCTTTCGACTGATGTTTGCAACAAAAATGCTATATAATTTTAAATTTGCTTAAGAATTATATACTTCTCTATAAAATATTACTATTATTTTTAATTTTCTCAAGGAATTACAAAAGGCATGTATTAATGAACACAAAGATATATATAGAGGATGAAAGAAGATTATAGGCAATAATATTTTTTTTAGCTATATTGAGTTTTTATAGACATCAAATTCTAATTTTTTTCTCAAATTTTTCTATTAATAATTCATCAACAATTTGAGTTTCTAACAAGAATAAAAAAGATGTTTTAAAAATTAATATATATTTTTTTATTTCTAAATAAGAACTATAAGATAATCTTTTTTTATATCTCTTTTAGTTATTGATATTTGAATTAAGGTAATATAAATACTAAATAAGGTTGTAATTTCAATCAATAGAATATCAAATATTCTACAAATAAATGGCTTAAGTTCATATTTAAAAATAATACAAATATCAATTTCTATGATATTTTATTATATACTTTGAAAGAATCTAATTTTAATAGAATGAAAGGTTGTTGGATATTTTTTGAATAATTTATGGTTTTTTTTAAATGCTAAGATATTATCCAAAAATAAATCTCATAAATAAAAAAATAATTTAGACTAAGTAAATAATATCTATTAAGACCACTTCTAATCTTTCTTGCAAGTTTTTTGCATAATTTTTATCCTATTTTTATAAAAGTAATTGGTCTTTAATCACCTATAGTGACTCAAAAAACTGTTTCAATGTTGACATATTTTTAGAAAGAATGGTATATTATTGATGAATTGTATTGAATAATGAAATGTGATTTGTATAGCAAATAAAGTACTCTTTTATAGCTACCAAATGAGCTTAGGTTGAAAAGAATCCATTAGGTGATTGTGGAGCTTTGACCAATCTAATTTGGAGTAGTATTGAAACAATTTTTTGAGTGTGGTATCTAATTTTTAGAATCTATCAATTAATCAATATTACAATATTCTATCATTATTAGATTTATTATGAAAATATTATTATTAATCTAATGATATTATTAATACTTACTAGCAACTATAAAAGCACCATTCTTAATCACAATTTTTGGCATAGATATATTCCAAATTATCACATTCTAGGACCTTCTAGAATCTTTTGTAAATTTCTAGAATCTTCTACCATCTTTTAGAAAGTTGTATAGGCTTCTAGAAGCCTCTTTAGACTTCTAAAAACTTCCATAGAAAGTACTATAGATTTTTGTAACCTTCATTATAGTATATATAGGAGTCTTTGGAACCACTTTTACTATTAATCTTATTCTTTGTGTTTAATATTGATGTATTTCTTTATCAAATTTTTGTATCCTTGATGATTCTTTGAACAACTATGAAACCCATTTCTTGCTCTCTCTAAGACAACATTATCTATGCTCTTCTTCATTCTCAAAAAGCTTATGGCCAAATTGCTTCTAAACTTGGTTGTAGTAAAGCTACTATCTCTAGGCTAGCAAAAAAGATCACTTTTAATAGGAAGAACCTTAAATTACGTACACAAAAGAAATTCATTGTAGTAGATGAAAGTGCAATCATTTTCCAAATCAACACTTAAAAGGCTAAAAATACTTTTGAGATTGCTAAAAACTTTAATAATATTATTAGTAATTATATATAAATTCAAACAATTTAAAATATCTTCAAGAAATAGAATATGAAAGCCATGGTGAAGAAAAAAAAGCCACTACTATCTATCTGCTATTGGAAACAACACTTGGATTTTGCTTTGAAGTACAAGTAATAGATTGTGGAAGATTGAAAGAAGGTTATTTAGTCAGATAAAACAAAAATCAACAGATTTGAGTCAGATGGCAGAAAGTGGATGTGGAAACAAAAGGGTGAGTCCTTGCTTGATAAGAAGATCCAAGAAACAACTAAGCATGGTGGTGGAAATATAATATTATAGAGTTGTATGGGATGGAATGGGGTTGGGAAGATGGCTAAGGTTAAAGGAAGGATGAATGCCAAGCAATTTGTGGAAATTCTTGAAACGAAAACTTGCTTTCTAGGATTGAAGAATCTGACAATTTTGAAGAATAGGTGATTTTTTAGCAATATAACAATTCCAAGCATTACTCAAAACTAACATAGAAATAGTTTGATCATTATGAGATTAAAGTAATGAATTAGCCTACTTAGTTTTCTAATCTTAATTCCATTGAATATCTTTGGAAGCACCTCAAATACCAACTCAACACTTAGAAGATAAAACCAAAGGAAGTTTGGGAATTATAGAAAAGAATAGCTACAAAATGGAATAATATTGAAGCAGTTTTGTGCCAAAAGTTAATAGAAAGTATGTTTAGGAGGTTGAAAGCAATTATCAGGGCCAAAAGAGGTCCTACAAAGTACTGATATGTGATTGGATACCACACTCAAAAAAATGTTTCAATATTATTCCAAATTAGATTGATTATAGTTTCACAATTACCTGATGGATTCTTTTCAACTTGGACTCATTTGGTAGCTATAAAAGAGTACTTTATTTGTTATATAAAGCATAAGTCATTATTCACTACAATTCATCTATAATACACCATTCTTTCCAAAATATGTCAATATTAAATTTTTTTTGAATCACTATAAATTAGCCATATCATTTATTTTGTGTAGTAATACAATTTTTTTGTAATAAAAAATAAGAAAAAAAGAATTTTTAAATCATAATTAAATATATATAATTTCAAAAAATATTATCCTAAAAATATTTATAAAAAAAATCATCCTAAATTCTATATAATGTTAGACCCTTGTTTTTTTTTTTTTTTTTTTTTTTTTTTTTTTTTTAAATTAATTTTAATTCCTCCAATCCAACCTTTGGATTCTTTGGAAAAAAATTGTAAAACCAGCCAAAATCCTTTGGCTCCAGGATTTTTTTTAGGAGCCTAAAAATAAAAAATTCTGGTGGAAATTTGGTAAGAATTTAAGGAAGTTTTTCCAAAAATTAGTAAAAAAGTTAAACCAAACCTAAGTGGAACCTTAATAAAAAAATATTTTTTTACCTTCTTTGTTATTGAGACTAGAATTAATAAGAAAATTAGTATTTTTGTTAAATTTATTTGAAAAATATTTAGAAAAAATTCTAAATTCTAAATTCTTTCTATTTTAGCTTTATTCTTATATATTTTTTTAATTTCTTATCTCTAATTAAAAAATTAATTCAATAAGTTTTTTTTTTTTTTTTTTTTTTTTTTTTCTTTCTTCTTCTTCTTCTTCTTCTTCTTCTTCTTCATAGAGTTTGTTGAAGTTGTGCAATGCCACTTGTTATTAGTAGAAAGATTTATAAAATCTAAAAAAGAATCTCATTCTTAATAGAAAAGTTCTTCCATATTTTACCCTTATCTATATGTATTGAACTTACATATTTATT